TCTTTCTTCAGCTCCTTCCTGGATAACTTGTATCCCTCTAGAGCCTTTTGCACTCCTTGTTTCCTAAACCTTACATAAGCATCCTTCGTCCTCTTAACTAGTCGTTCGACCTCTCTCGAGAAGCAAGGCTCCCTCACTCGAGTGCATCCTCCCTGCCTGCTAGGGACAAACATATCGAACACACGCAGTCTGCATTCCTTAAACAATCTCCACATTTCTATAGTGCTCTTCCCTGACAGCATCTGTTCCCAATTTATGTTACCCAGTTCTTGCCTAACAGAATTGTAATTGCCCTTCCCCCAATTATAAACCTTACCCTGTTGTATGTACCTATCCTTTTCCATGATTATTGTAAAAGTAACAGAGTTATGATCACTACCGCCAAAATGCTCTCCTACTAACAGGTCTAACACTTGGCCCGGTTCATTGCCAAGCACCAAATCAAAAGTGGCCTCTCCTCATGTGGGTCTATCTACATGGTGTGTCAGGAATCCGCTCAATCTAAACTATTACAACTAAAATATTTCCAATCAATATTTGGAAGGTTGAAGTCACCCATGACTACAACCCTGTGACTTCTGCACCTTTCCAGTATGTGACTCTGTCGACATATCATTCTCGAACTGCCTTTCAGTAGCTGCTATACTAGCCCTGACTAGCGATGTCACTCCCCCGCCTCTTTTTCCACTCTCCCTATTTCTTTTAAAGCATCTAAATCCCGGAACTTCCAATAACCATTCCTCTCCCTGAGTTACCCAAGTTTCTGTAATGGCTACAACATCGTAGTTCCAAGTACCAACCCATGCTCTAAGTTCATCCGCCTTATTTCTGATACTTCTAGCATTGAAGTATACACACCTCAAACCATCTCTGTGTCCACAATTACGCTCCATCGACTGCATTTCTTTATTAACAACCTCACTCCCTGTTGTGTCCGTTGGAAGGCTGAATACCTCATCCTCTGAATTATAAATCCGGTTCCCCACCCCCTGCCATACTTGCTTGCCTTCATCAGCCGGGCCATGGAGTACAAGGGTTGGCAAACCATGTAGCAGCTATATAAAACCCTTGTTAGGCCACATTTGGAGTATTGCGTGCAGTTTTGGTTGCCACATTACCAGAAGGATGTGGACACTTTGGAGAGATTGCACAGAATGTTCACCAGGATGTTGCCCGGTCTTGAGGGCATTGGCTATGAGGAAAGATTAAAAAGACGAGGGTTACTTTCACTGGAAAGACGGCGGCTGAGAGGAGACCTGACAGAGGTCTACAGAATTATGAGAGGCATAGATAGGGTGGATAGTCAGAGGCTTTTCCCCAGGGTTGAAGTTTCACTTACAAGGGGGCACAGGTTCAAGATGAGAGGGCAAAAGTTTAAGGGTGATGTGCGAGGAAAGTTCTTCACAGAATGCACTGCCAGAGGAGGGGTGGAAGCAGGCACGTTGGTGACACTTAAGAGGTGTCTGGATGGTTACATGAATAGGGAGGGAATAAAGGGACATGAACCAAATAAGGGCAGAAGGTTTGTTTTTTAGTTTAGTCAGGGCATGATGATCGGCACTGGCTTAGAGGACCAAAAGGCTTGTTCCTGTGTTGTACTTCTCTTTTTGTTCTCTACAAATTTATAACGATATTCCCCACTTTATAGCGTAAGTTGTTCCTAAAAATTGAGCAGATTAATGGACCCAAAACTGATTCTTGAGTAACAGCAAGACAAACCATCTCCCTGTCTTCATTTCCTGTTACACAGCCAATTTGTATCCATCTATTGTGAAATCAATACACTGAGAGAGAAAATATCAGTGGGGCTAGGGAGCCTTGTGACAGTACACACCAAAATGCACATGACCTGAATTTGAATATGATGGAGTTTATGGAGTATGGAGCTTGGGGGAAGCAAATGGTCACAACATTGGTCAGACTATATTTGGAGTATCGTGTGCAGTTCTGGACATCTTATTTAAGGGAGGATGTTAACATCTTGGAAAGAGCGCATAGGAGATTTACTAGAACCTTACTTGGAATGAGGGATTTTACTTACAAGAAAAGATTAGAGAAATTGGGCTTATTCTCCCGGAGCAGAGAAGATTAAGAGGTGACCTTATTGAGATATTCAAAATTATGAACAATTTTGACAAGGTATTCTGTTTCCACTCGTCGGTATGTCAGTAAATAGGGGTCACAACTTCAAGACTGTCAGCAAGAGAGTTAAGGGTGAATGTGAAGTTTTTTTACTCAGAGAGTTGTTAGGATTTGGAATGCACTGCCTGGGATAGTGGTGGAGGCAGATTCCGTACTAAGTTTCAAAATAGAGCTGGATAAATGTTTGAAAGTGATGAACTCAGAGGGCTACAGAGATAGGGCTGGAAAATGGGACAAGCTGGGTAGCTCTTATGAGAACTAGTACAGACATGATGGGTCAAATGGCCTCCTCTATGCTGTAAAATTCTATGATTCTATGTCAAGTTTTGACACAAAAGTACAGCTCTAGAGATTTTGGTTTCTAAAGTGGTGAATAGGGGCAGATGCAACCAATGAGATAAAAGCTCAGCTTTTTGGTGCTGCCTGGACAAAATAATAAAGGAAAACATCTGTATAGGCATTTTGGTAAAATATTTTAATAATTTCCATGTTTAAAGCTATTTTCTTGGGCTCAAATCCAGATTGTTGAGTAAGATAATGGAGGACATAGCAGATAGTTAAGAAGGCATACAGGAAACTCGCTTTTATCAGTTGTGGCATAGATATAAAAGCAGGGAGGTCATGTTGGAGATGTGCAGGACTTTAGTACAACTGGAGTACTGTGTGCAGTTATGGTTACCATACAAGAGATGGATGTGATTACACTGGACAGAGTGCAGAGGACAGTCACCAGGATGTTGCCTGGGATGGAGCATTTCAATTATGAGCAGAGGTATGGATTGCTTGGGCTGTTTTCTTTGGAGCAGAGAAGGTTGAAGGGGACTTGTTAGAGGGGTGTAAGATTATGAGAGGCATGGACAGGTTGAATAGAAAGCAGTTGTTCCCTTTCCTCGTATGGTCAATAACAATGGACATAATTTTAAAGTGAAAGGCAGGACGTTTAAAGGGGGTTTGAGGAAAATCATTTGCACCCTTTGATGGGGTCTGGAATGCCTTGTCTACGAGGTAGTTGAGGTGCAAAAATACTAGGATAACTACTTCAAGTGTTATAACATTGAAGACTATGGGCCTAGTGAAGTTGGTAGTATATTTTTGACAGTACAGACTCAATGGTCCAACGGGCCTATTCTGTACTATATGATTGTCTGATTCTATGCGATGTGAGGAAAAACCTTTCACCCAGTGCAAGATAGAAATCTGGAACTCGCTGCCTTTAAGGGCAGTAGAGGCAGAAAGCCTCACATCATTTAAGATGGATTTAGATGTGCACTTGCAATACCAAGGCATACAAGGCAATAGACCAACTGTTGGAAAATGGGATTAGAATAGTTAGGTGTTCATTTTTCATTGCCATGGATACAGTGGGCAAAAGAGTTTTTTTTTCAGTGGATCTCTATAACTTTATGCCTCTAGATAAAGGTTTCATACAGTTTGATGTAGCATAGATGGGCTGACAACATTGAGATATTTGCGCAAACCAGGAGAGTACTGGAGTAATGAAATGGGAAGTATCTTCAGGAATCATTCATAAACTGACCCCATACCATCAGCTTCTCAAGGGCAAATTGTGCAACAAATTCAAGCCTTGCCAGCAGTACTCACATTCCAACAAATAACACAATCTGGGATGGCATGGTGGCTTAGTGCTTAGTACTGCTGCCTTACAACACTAGGGACCCAGGTTCAAAACTAGCCTTAGGAGATTGTCTTGATGGAATTTGCATGTTCTCCCCATGTCTGAGCGGGTTTCTACTGGGTGCTCTGGTTTCCTCCTACAGTTCAAAGATGTGCTAGTAATGTGGATTGGTCATGTTAAAATGCCCCGTAGTGTCCAGGGACACAGGTTACGTGGATTAGGCATGGTAAAATTGCAGGGTTACAGTTATAGGGTGAAGGACTGGGTCTGGATGGGATGCTCTTCAGAGGATTGGTGGAGACTTGATTGGGCTGAATGACCTCTTTCCGCACTGTAGGGATTCTATGAAAATTAGTCAGGATTGACATGCAAATGATGAAAATGTATCTCCATGGACATTTAAATGACAGAATTTCCCACTCCCCTGTAGAATCAGTCATGAACAATGATTACAATCAAGACACAATTTTCTGCAACTGCACTCTAAGATTTTATGGTCTCATTGAAAGCTTTAAGCACTGATGAAAAAGGTTCTGCTTTAACGTAGCAGAAAGACTGTGTGTTCTCATTGTTAAGATGGGTTTGGAATATTTTTTGACATAGGAGAGTTCATAAGAACATAAGAACTAGGAGCAGCAGTAGGCCATCCCGCCCCTCGAGCCTGCCCCGCCATTCAATAAGATCACGGCTGATCTTTTTGAGACTCAGCTCCACTTACCCACCCAATCACCATAACCCTGTTCAAAGGCAGAGCTGAAGGAACTTGGAGGAGCGGTCATTTGAACAGGATCAAACAACATTGAATGACAGCATGGCAGCTCAGTGGTTAGCACAGCTGCCTAACAGCGCCAGGGACTGGTGCTTGAGTCCAGCCTTGGATGACTGTGTAGAGTTTATACATTCTCCCTCTGTCCCTAGAGTTTCCTCTAGGTGCTGCTGTTCCTCCCACAGTCCAAAGACGTGCAGGTTAAGTGGATTGGCCATGCTAAATTGCCCATAGTATCTAGAGATATCGGTTAGATGGAAAAAGTAGGGTTACAGGGACAGGGTAGGGGTTGGATCTAGGTTGGATGCTTTTCAGGGGGTCAGTGTAGACTCAATGGACTGAATGGACTACTTCCATGCTGTAGGGATTCTATGATGATTCCATGACTCTATGAATCAGAAATGATAGCCTTTAGTGCTTATACTTATGAGAGCAGTGAATGGCTTCCTAACTTACTTTAATGTTTGCAGTCTGCATTCAGAGTCCTTCAGAGCAGCAGCCAATAAACTTATAGCAGAATGATCTGGGAATGTGTAGCTTAAATCCAAGTTTAATATTGTCTGTTTTTTCTTGATAACAGTAGTCAGCTCTTCCCAGGATCTTTGAGTGAAGTAGGTACCTGACAGGCTGTGGAAAAATGAAGAAAACAATCAGCAGAAATAAACCCAATGAGAAAGGAATACTCTGGGGTACGACACATCATCTGTGGCTAATGAAGGAAGTTGGGGATAGTGTCCAATTGAAAGAAAAAGTGTACAATTCTGCAAACATTAGCGTCAGATCAGAATTTGAGCAAAATTTTTAAAAAGCAGCAAAAGGATAACTAAAAACATGATGTGTATGAGAGGGAATTATTTAAAAACTTAAACAAGATAATAAGAGTTTTTACAAGTGAAAAGTCAGCATGGGTCCTCTAGATAGTGAGTCTGTGGAATTAGTATAGTTGAGTAAGAAATGGCAGAGTGTTAAAGCAATCATAATTATCAGGGAAAGGGTGCTGAGAAAATTATTAGAGCTAAAGGCTGACTGGTCACTAGGAACTGATAGTTTTCATCCTAGCTTCAAAAACAAGTAGCTGAAGATGGCAGATACACTGGTTTTGCTTTTCCAAAATTTCCTAAGTTATGCAAAGGTCCCATCAAATTTGAAAATAGCAACTATAAACCCTCTCATTGAAAAAGGAGAGAGACAGAAAGCAGAGAACTGCAGGGCAGTTAGCCTAACATCTATTTTTAGGAAAATACTAGAATCTATTAAGGAGGTTATAGCTGAGCACTTAGAAAATCTTAATACAATTTGGCAGCTCTAACATTGATTTGTGAAACAGAAATCAATTTTGACTAATTTATTAAGGGTAAGTAAAATAACAAGAAGTGTGATTAAAGGGAAATCTGTAGATGTGGTGTACTTAGGTATCCAAATGCATTTGATGAGGTATCACATTAAAGGTTACCACATAAAATAGGTCACAAACAGGATAGAAGATTGATTATCTATCAAGAAGCAGACAGTGGAGATGAATAGTCCTTTCCAGGGACAGAAGCTGTAAACAGAGGACTGCCATGAGAATCAGTGAGGCCTCAACTACTTACAATTCATGTAAATGAGTTGGATGAAGGAACTAATTTTTTGTTGCTAAATATCTGTTGACAAAACAGTATGAAAGCAAACTGTGAGAAAATCATAAAGAATCTACAAAAGACTCAGATGGTGAGGAAAAAAATTGACTGATGGAGTAAAATGTAGGGAAATGTGACCTTGTCCATTTTGACAGGAAGAATAGAAATGTGGTATGTTATTTAAATGGAAAAATGTTGCGAAAATGTGAAACATCCAGGGATCTGGGTGTCCTGGTACATGAATCACAAAAAAGTTAACATGCAGATACGGCATGTGAACAGGAAAGCAAATTGAGTATTCTTGTTTATTACAAGAGAAATGAAATTTAAACAAGTAGGAAAGTTTTGCTACAACTGCACAGGGCATTGGTGAGACTATCTTGAATATGTGTAAAATCTGGACTTCTTGTTTGAGAAGGGATATAAATGTATTAAAAGCAGTTCATACCTACATAAGAACTAGGAGCAGGAGCAGGAAATTCAGCCCGTTGAGCCATTTAATACAATCATCGCTGATCACATTTTGGCCTCAACTCCACTCCCCATAATCATAGAGTCTTGGAGTCATACAGCATTAATACAGGCTCTTCTGTCCAACTAGTCCACGCGAACCATGTTCCCAAAGTAAACTGGTCCCACTTGCCTGCGTTTGGCCCATATCCCTCCAAACCTTTCTTATCCATGTACCTATCTAAATATCTTTTAATTGTTGTAACAGTATCTGGAGTCACTGCTTCCTTTGGCAGTTCATTCAACACACGAACCACTCTCTGTGTAAAAACGTTGCCCTTCACGTCCTTTTTAAAACTTTCTCCTCTCACCTTAAAAATATGTCCCCCTAGTTCCCCTACCCTAGGATAAAGACCCTTGCTATTCACCTTATCTGTGCCCCTCATCATTTACAAACATCTATAAGCCTAACCTCCTAGCTCCAATGGAAAAAGTTCCAGCCTGTCCAGCCTATTTTTATAAGTCAAACCCTCTATTCCCAGCAACATCCTGCTAAATTTTTTTCTGAACCCGCTCCAATTTAATAATATCCCTTTTCTAGCAGAGCAACCAGTACTACACACGGTACTCCAGAAGTGACCTCCTGTAATCCATTAATAATTAGAATTCTGTCTATCTCCTCAAATTTATTGATTTCCTGGCTTCCACCACATTGTGATATACAAGGATCTGTGTGCCCTGGTGCATGAATCACAAAAAATTCAGAAAAGGTTCACCCACCCAACTAATTCCTGGGATGATGGACTTACCTTACGAGGAAGGTTGGACAGACTGGTTCTGTATCCATTGGAGTTTAGAAGAATGACAGGTGGTTTTTATCAAAACATATAAGATCCTGAGAGGAATTCACAAGATGAAAGACAAGTGTGATGGAGCGACGTTCAGTCAAGGAACTCAAAAGGGAATTTGGCTGTTATTTGAAAATGCAAGGCATGGATGCTGTGAGCATCTAGGTGGGCACAAAGTGAGAGAATGCTATGAAGCCTGTTCCAGTCCTTAAGCTTGGTGCTTGTGGGATAGTCAGCATGGTTTTGCACAAGGAAGATCGTGTCTCACAAACTTGATTGAGTTTTTTGAGGAAGTTACCAAAATGATGGCAGTGCAGTAGACGTTGTTTATTTGGATTTTAGTCAAGCCTTTGACAAGTTTCAACATGATAGACTAATTAGTAAAGTTAGGTCACATGGATTCAGGGTGAGCTTGCCAGTTGGAAACATAATTGGTTTAATGGCAGGAAGCAGACAGCAGTGTTGGAGGGTTGCTTTTCAGACTGGAAGTCTGTGACCACTGGTGTTCCACAGGGATCGGTTCTGGGTCCTCTTTTGTTTTGTTATTTATATAAATAATTTGGATGAGAATACAGAAGGCATGGTTAGTAAGTTTGTGGATGACACCAATGTTGGTGGCATTGTCGTCAATGAAGATGGCTTTCTAAGATTGCAAAGGGATCTTGATCAAATTCATCAATGGGTTGAAAAACGGCAGATGGAGTTCAATCTGGATAAATGCGAGATATAGCATTTTGGTACAATAAACAAGTGTAGGGTTGATACAATTAATGGTAGGGCCTTGAGTAGTGTTGTAGAACAGAGGGACCTAGGGGTGCAGGTACGTAATTCCTTAAAGTTTGTGTTACATATAAACTTTAAAAGACATTTGGCACGCTTTCATTGCTCAGTCCTTTGAGTATAGGACTTGGGACATTATTTAAGTAAGGCACTTGATAAGGTTCCCCATGGTAAGCTCATGCAGAAGGCAAGAAGGCATGGGATAGGGGGAAATGTGGCAGATTGGATTCAGAATTGGCTGACCCTGAGAAGACAAAGGGTGGTAGTGGATGGAAAATATTCAACATGGCGCTCAGTTACAAGTGGTGTACCACAAGGATCTGTTCTGGGTCCTCTTCTATTTGTGATTTTGTAAATGATTTGGATGAAGGAGTGGAAAGGTGGATTAGTAAGTTCGCGGACGACACGAAGGTGGGTCGAGTTGTGGATAGTGCGGAGGGCTGTTCTAAGTTACAAAGGGACATTGATAGGATGCAGAGCTGGGCTGATAAGTGGCAGATGGAGTTTCACCCTGAAAAGTGTGAGGTGATTCATTTTGGAAGAACAAACTTGAAAGCAGAATACAGGGTTAACGGAAAGATTCTTGGCAGTGTGGAGGAGCAGAGGGATCTTGGGTTCATGTCCACAGTTCCCTGAAAGCTGCCACCCAGGAGGATAGAGTTGTTAAGAAGGTGTATGGTGTGTTAGCTTTCATTAATAGAGGGATTGAGTTCAAGAGCCGTGAAGTTATGCTCCAGTTATACAAAAGCCTGATTTGGCCACATCTGGACTATTGTGTCCAGTTCTAGTTGCCTCATTACAGGAAAGATGTGGAAGCATTGGAAAAGGTGCAGAGGAGATTTACCAGGATGTTGCCTGGAATGGAGGGAAGGTCTTACGAGGAAAGGTTGTGAGAGAGCTCGGGCTTTTCTCTTTAGAACGACGAAGGATGAGAGGTGACTTGATAGAGGTGTACAAAAAGATCAGAGGTATAGATAGAGTGGACAGCCAGCTACTTTTTCCTGGGGTGGAGGTAGCTATTACGAGAGGGCATAGTTTTAAAGTGAGTGGAGGTAGATATAGGGGAGACGTCAGAGGTAGGTTCTTTACTCAGAGAGTAGTCGGGGCGTGGAATGCATTGCCGGAGAGGGTAGTAGAGTCGGCCTCTTTAGGGGCATTTAAGCTGCTATTAGATAGGCATATGGATGATAGTATAAGGTAGGGGTGGAGGTTAGATAGACCTTAGGATTAGGGTAAAAGTTCGGCACAACATCGTGGGCCAAAGGGCCAGCACTGTGCTGTACTGTTCTATGTTCTATTATATTGAGGTTGCACAGGACACCGGTGAGGCCTCTTCTGGAATACTGTGTCCAGTTCTCGTTGCCCAGTTACAGGAAGGATATTATCAAGCTGTCGAGGGTTCAGAAGAGATTTACCAGGATATTGCCAGGTATTGAAGGTTTGAGATATAAGGAAAAGCTAGATAAGCTGGGACTTTTTTCACTGGAGTATTAGAGGTCGAGAGGTAATCTGATTGAAGTTTGTAAAATAATGAGAGGTATAGATAGAGTTGATGATGGTTGTTTTTTTCCCTAAGGTGGGGAATTTCAAGACCAGGGGACACATTTTTAAGGTGAGAGGAGAGAGATTTAAAAAAGACATGATTCAATTTTCTTACAAAGAGGGTGGTTTGCCTGTGGAATGAACTTCCTGATGAAGTGTTGGATGCGGTTACAATTATAACATTTAAAAAACATTTAGATGGATATATGAACAGGAAAGGGAGTGGGCCAGGAGCAGGCAGATGGGATGAGTTAAGTGTGGGATTATATTTGACAAGGACTGGTGGGACCAAAGGGTCTCTTTCCATGCTGTATGACCTTATGACTCCACATCCTGGGTGCAGCACCACAATGATAGTTGCCAGTGCAGCACTGAAGTTCAAAATAAA